TTAGGGTTTAGGGTTTAGGGTTTAGGGTTTAGGGTTTAGGGTTTAGGGTTTAGGGTTTAGGGTTTAGGGTTTAGGGTTTAGGGTTTAGGGTTTAGGGTTTAGCGACTCCAATCATGGGAAGATGGATGTTGCCCCTTAAAGTGCAACAACAAGGATTCTCAGTCGGGTCCTTTCAATTTAGGGCTGAGGGTTTACGATTGCCTGAACTATTCGATGTCCTAACCAAAACCCTAGACCCAAAGAAGACAACCAGCCTAAACCCTAAAAGATACCCTCAAAAAACTTAATTCCACAACCCTAAACCCTAACCCCAAACCTAAACCTAAGCCCCTAAACCCAAAAAACTCCAAAGCCCTAAACCCTGAACCCGATCAAGAAAAAAGCAACCTCAAACGGGCACAGGGGGGGGGGGGTGGTTCGCCCGGTGTATTCTTCACGGTGAGAGCATCCTTGGCATGAATTGATTTGGTTTAGGGTTTAGGGTTTGGGGTTTAGGGTTTAGGGTTTAGGGTTTAGGGTTTAGGGTTTAGGGTTTAGGGTTTAGGGTTTTGGCCCTGCGCAGGAGATACCGGTGACGATGTCCAAAGAGTTCAGGAAGCTCTTCTGGAATAGAGGGGGCTGTTAGGGCTCAGGCATGGGGTTTCGGGACTTAGGCTGCTTGGGATAGGGCTAGGGATGTAGGGTTCAAGGCTCTGGGGTTTAACTTGTTTTTGTGTGGGTTGGGGTTGAAGTTTGGAGTATTGAGCTTGGTTCTGCTTCTTCTTATCGTTCTTGCTTAGTGACATCATCATTGTCCTTATTATCACATGATCATCAACTTCACTGAAAAACCTTCCTTAAGACTGGCAATGTTGCAGCTGGCATGATTAAGAGATTTTGGGTTGTTGGGTTAAGAGTGTGAGCACCCTTCAAGGCCAGTGCGGTAGCCATAGTCTCCTGAAGGCCTACGCACGTCATCATCAAATACATGCAATATTGATGACGGAAAGAATTGTACCTTTACGGACAGTTTTTACTTAGTGTTCTCCCTATGAAGGCACGATGACTGTTGGACTGCCTAGCTCAGACGGCTGCCCTAAACCCTAAACCTTAAACCTTAAACCCTAAACCCTAAACCCTACACCCTAAACCCTAAACCCCAAACCCTAAACCCTAAACCCCAGACCCTGAGCCCTAAGCGGCTTGCACGTGCGCCCATGCGTGCATCTGAGGATTGAAGGCTGCCGGGCTTGCTTCAGGAGTTGTGTTACCTGATTATGGTTTGGTGTTGTTTGGGGTTGAGGGTTTGTTTAGGGTTTAGGGTCTAGGGTTTAGGGTTCAGGGTTGAGGGCTTAGGGTTTGGGGTTTGGGGTTTGGGGTTGAGGGAGATGACCCAGTAGGGTGCAACCCCAAGAGCCTGCCCCCTTGCGTTCAGGCTTTGGCTTGACTTGTTCCTCTAGATTGCCAAGCCCTAAGCTCTAACCCCGAAACCCCAAACCCTGCACCCAGGCCAGGATCAGTCCAGGGAGTAGGGGTAGTTACTCAGGTCCGAAGGAAGCTCCGAGCCAACCTGCGCGTGGGGTTTAGGGTTTAGGGTTTAGGGTTTAGGGTTTAGGGTTCAGGGTTTAGGGCTTAGGCTTTACGGTTTAGGGTTTAGGGTTTCCTTTGTGGGATTTGGAGGTGCTAGGAGCTTTTGGGCACTAAAGGGCTTGTGTTTTAGGGCTTTAGTAGCTAGAGGCCTTGGAAGCTTCACCTGCAACCCTAAACCCTAAACCCGAAACCCTAAACCCTAAACCCTAAACCCTAAACCCTAAACCCTAAACCCTAAAACCTAGACCCTACTCCCTGAACCCTACTCCCTAACCCCTAAACCCTAAACCCTAAACCCCAAACCCCAAGTGTGCCGAACACCCATTCAGGCGATCTGTGGAGCATGAAGGAGCTGCTTCTCTCCAGGCCGCGGGCGGGAAAATCCCGGGTTCTTGAGTTCCCAACTTCCTAAATTCCGAGCTTTCTCGGCGTTTAGGGTTTAGGGTTTAGGGTTTAGGGCTTAGGGTTTAGGGTTTAGGGTTTAGGGTTTAGGGTTTAGGGCACAAGCCCGCCCTCAAGATCTGGGACAGTATCAGGTGGGTTGTGCGCCTTGCACGGTAGGTTCTCCAAGTCAGGCTGCCCATTGAAGTGCGGTCATCCCGCAGCGGGAGTTGAATCCGACCATAAAACCCTACTCCCTGAACCCTAACCCCTAAACCCTAAACCCGGAACCACCAGTCCCCAAAACTCTGAAATGGGAAACCCTAGGCCCAGCCAGGTCGGAACTGGAGGTGAGCTGCCAAATGGCACACGTTGGATGGCCCGTGCACCCCGGCTCCACATTGATTTAGGGTTTAGGGTTTAGGGTTTAGGTGTATAGAGGGTTTCGAAAAAGAAGAGGGTGAGTGTATGAGGGTATGTGTTGGGGTATCCTTTTGGGATGCTCAGATACTCGCAGTATATGCCCTAGCTTCTTTAAGTAGGGTAGCCAGGGCTTTATTCCTATGTCATTTCAGGCCGCTTTGGCTGACCCTAATATTCAGGGTGGCTATATGTCTTAGCCCAAGAAATGATGATGGACTTAGGTTATGTTCAGGTTTCAGGATTCAGGGTTCGAATTTAGAGTGTCAGGGTTTGTGGACGGTCGGCTGTATCCACTCATCCGAAGCCTGGTAAGGTACTTTGTGGTCACTTCGCCCATGCCGAAAGCCTCTTGGCCCTAGCGCCCCCAACCCTAAGCCCTTATAACATGATCCCACAAGATTTTTAAGCCCTAAACCCCTAAACTCTAAAAGCCCTAAACGGAAAGTCTAAGCCCTCAATTCCCAGGCCTCGTGTACAGCCTTAGCCTCATGTACACCCTAACCCCTAAACCCTAAACCCTCAACCCTAAACCTTAAACCCAGCCTTATTTCGCACCTTCCGGTGTGGGGGTGTGGAGTTAGCTGAGTATGCCTCGAGTGCGCGTGCGCGCCCCCAAAGAATCCCGCCAAGAGTCTTGCCGAGTATCCGGAGTGCCAACTCCCAGAGAAGCCTGCAGAGAGTCCCGCCGAGTGAGGTCCGCAGACACTCCAGCCGAGTAAACCCTAAACCCGAAACCCTAAACCCGAAATCCTAAACCCTAAGCCCTAAACCCTGAAACCTAAACCCTAAACCCCAAACAAAAGCCCGCAAGAGTCCGATTTTGCCTGGAGGTGGCCACCGTGGAGGTGGCCACCATGGAGAATCCCGCGACAGAAGCCTGCGGCGAAGTATCCGTCATTACCTGTGGGAAAGCAGGTCGCAGTAGTTTGAGATACCCTACTTGTGGCTTAACCCCGAGTCCCCTGAACCCCAACGCAGGCGCTGCAGCCTTAAACCCCCAAACCCGTTAGCCATAATCTCTAGAACCCAGGTAGCTTTCTGAATCTGAGCCAACGCGCCCTAAGTTCAGTGTGCTCAGGATCGTATAGGCTTTGGGTCTTGAGTTTTGAGTTTGGGGAGTTGAGAGTTTCCCGAAAACGAAATATCGCACAATCCCCCCCTTGCAAGGCTCCTCCCCCCTCAACAATAATGAGAAAGGGACCCCAACCTTGTTCTTCCAGACATATTGGGCTCCGCGTTTAGGGTTTTCGCGTCCAGGCTTGGGAGTTCACTTCGGGGTTATGTAAAGTTCCAAGTCGGGGGTCCCAAAGCATCTAAAATCTGAAAGCCGCAGCCTCCCAACACCCGAAGCCCCCGCCTTAGTACTTAGGGTTTTGGGTTTTGGGTTTACGGCTTAGGGTGCAGGGTTTCGAGCCGCCCTGAAACCCTCCAAAGCCCCTCCCTGTACACCCAGGTTGCTGACTTGTTCCGGCGCGCCTTTGCAGGTGGCTTTGCCAACGTCGGAGGCGCACAGGGGAAGGGTTTATAAGGGGGGGGTTAAGGGTTTAGGGCTTGGGGCTTTGCAGCGGCTTTGAGCAGGGTCTTCAACCTCATTGGCCCCTACATAAACCTCCGTCAGACCCCTAAGGCTCAAGGTCAAGGCCCTGGCCTCTCTCTGTGTATAGGACCGTAAACCCTAATGAAATTCCCAACTGGCCTGTTTAGGCCGCAGCCACTTTCATTTGTTCTTCAGGTTCAATTTTAGGGTTTGGCGCTGAGTGTTTTGGGTTTCGAGGAAACGGCGCTCTGAATGCCCCAAGCCCTAAGCCTTAAGCCCTAAGCCCGAAGCCCTAAACCCGAAACACTAAACCCTAAACCCTAAACCCTAAACCCTAAACCCTAAACCCTAAACCCCAGAGTGTGGCCAGGCTTTGCCAGCTTGCTCACCTTGATGGCCGAAGCCTTCCACCTCTTCCCTGGGCACCCCGGATGAATCAAGAACCGAAAGGTTTAGGGTTTAGGGTTTAGGATTTAGGGTCTAGGGTTTAGGGTTCAGGGTTTAGCGTTCAGGGTTAGGGTTCAGGGTCTAGGGCTTAGACTCCCTATTGGATTTTTTTGGACCGACGTTTCGACAGCAACCAATAGTTTAAGGTGATGTGAAGCCATGCGACACAAGCACCCTGAGAATGAGACAATGCCTCGTTACAACGTGTTGCCGCCCGGCAGACAAATCCCCAGAGTCCAATCACTGGGTTCTCTGACAAGGAACTCAAAATAAGCTACCAGAAGGGTACCACATTCATTTGCTTTATAAGCCTATTGCGGCAACTTCGTTTATGTTCCTTTACAAGAGCCCTGCTTCTTGGCCCCCCCCCCCCTCCCCCTCCCACCCCCTTCATCCCTCACCCCCCCGCTCTAGTTTGATGTGGCACGCCTCAGCTTCAAGCCGAGTGAGGCTCTCTGACAGGGTGTTTGGAGCTTAGAGCTTTAGTGCAAAAGTTTGCGGCAATCAGGCGCGCCCTGCCCGTTTCTCAGCCAGCGCTCCCGCCCTCGCATTTGTCATTTGCTTTCCTTAAACTCATGCTTTGAAAAGAGCAGAGAGAGCACACATCATAGAGGACCAGATCTCTGCTTTCACCTCCAGCGCAATGGCTGCAATGGCTGCCTTTCTGGGGCCTTCCATGCCCCCCTTGACGTGGCAGCCGCTTGCTGGAGGGCTCAAGCGGCCGAGGCCACAAAGCGCGGACAGGTGCCGGGCGCAGAGCAGGGCATTCGGCATACCTCGGGCCGGGGCCGCTGTCTTCTTGCCACTTGTGGCCTTAACGAGGCGGCGCGCCAAGGGGAAGAACGGGAAAGATGGCCCGAGCGGTGTGCAGAAGTGGTTTGAGGAGAAGAAGGCGGAAGGAACTGCAGGTGTTGGTGGTGCGGTAGTTGGTGGCATGCTCGCTGGCCCTTTGGGGGCCGTAGTCGGCTCACAGGTAGCTTCAAAGCTAGGCCCCGTGTTGAACGATGCCCTGGACGCCTTGGAGGTAGACGAGGCTGAGGACTCTCCAGACCCGAAGGAGGAGAAGGAGGAGAGAGCCAGCGACAGAAAGCAGGAGGACGTGCAAAGTAAGCAAGCTGAGCCTGAGGCGGCCAAAGTCCCCCCAGCCCCCAAGCAGGAAGAGAAGCCAGCTGCGCAAGAGCTGCCACCGAAAAGCTCCGAGACCAAGGAGCCCGAAAGCGAGCCTCCCAGTCCGACGCTTGCCGAAGCCTCCCCACCAGAAGGTTCGCCTGCGCTCCCGGACGAGCTCCAGAAGCTCCGCAGCAGCGTTGCCGAGAAGAAGCTGGGACCCGGAGTAGGCCCTCCTTTCCCTTTTTTCTAGGGGGTTTAGGTTCCCTTCTATTACATAAGCTGCCCTTTGAAAGCCAAGAAGTGCAGCCCCTTTTTTATTCCTAGGTTACTCTCCTTTTGTCGAGGAAGAAGAGCCTGAAGGCGCAGGTGGAGGCTCTGTACCTCCAGGCCGAGGAGGCCCTGATAGCCGGCGACGAGTCCGCCGCCCGTGAGTCTCCCGGGCCTATTTTTTGTGAGGGACACTTACGTCGCCCTGAGCTCTTTTTGTTTTGGGGGGGTTTCTATGCAAAAGAATCAGCAGCTCCAAGGATGAAACCCTGAAGCCCCCCCCCAAACCCTAAACCCTAAACCCTAAACCCTAAACCCTAAACCCTAAACCCTAAACCCTAAACCCTAAACCCTAAACCCTAAACCCTAAACCCCAAAATGCCCCCCAAAACGCCCCTAAGCTGAGGCATCTCGAGGCCCGGTCGAAGGCTCAGGCGAGCCTGGAGAAGCTGACGGAAGGCGACGAGCGGAGGCTTCAGCGGCACGCGGACCAGCTGAAGGCCCTGGACGAGAAGCTTCGGTACCCAGTGGTGCTTCCTTATTTCTTTTTAAACCCTAGGGTTTAGGGTTTAGGGTTGAGGGTTTAGGGTTTAGGGTTCTGGGTCTCCTTGCAGAGTAACCAACGCCCAAAAAAGGTTAGAACTGTTGTGGCTGGGCTGCCAAGGAAGGCAGAGGAGATGTACAGGAAGGCGGAGAAGTCCCTGCAAGCTGGGGAAGATAAGATGGCCCGGGAGTTCCTTGAAGAGTGGCAGCTAGGACCCAGAGTAGGCCCAATATTTCCATTATTTCCTTGTTTTGGGGGTTTAGGTTCTCTTATCAACCCTTTAAACTAAAAAGGCTACCCTTGTTATTCCTAGGTTTCTCCTGGGTCTAGGCAGAAGATCCTCTTGCAGCGACAGAAGCTCCATGACGAGGTTTCTCCCTGATGGTGGAGAAGCGTACGTTGTACATAGCACAGGCCGTCAATTTCAGCAGATCAGAACGCTGAGTTGTGAAACAGTTAGGGTCTGGGCTTAGGGTTTAGGGTTTAGGGTTTAGGGTTTAGGGTTTAGAGTTTAGGGTTTAGGGTTTAGGGTTTAGGGTTTAGGGTTTAGGGTTCAGATGATCTAGTTACGGTCGATGCCTGTGGGCATGTGGGCAGTTGTTCTCATGGCCCCTTTTGCATTTTGTTTAAACTTAACCCGAGGCTCCGCCTTCTAAGCCCCCGCCGACTTGCCTACCGACTTGCAATCGTATTCCCTTTCCTTCCCCTATATTGATATACTAAAATCCCCCCCCCCCCAAAAATAGAAAAACAAACCTACTGCAATGTTTAAGGCCCTACATGACCAGTTCTTCATAGGGAACTAAGAGCATTTTCGTACATCCCCCGTACTTGAAGGTTTATGGTACCTATTCACCAACTACGACTGTACCTATAACCCAAATTATAACCATATCAGGGGACTTAAGGGGCGTATAAGTGGGTTATAAGTACGGTTATAAACCCGGAGCCCTAAGCCCTAAGCCCTAAGCCCTAAACCCTAAACCCTAAACCCCAAACCCCAAACCCCAGACCCGAAGTAAGGGCGGCGGTGCTGGCAAGCCTGCTGACCAACCCAAGCTTCATCAACGTGGACCGCGCCATGGACACGATTCTGCAGAGTGGCCCCCCGGTGCTGTCTATGGCTTCGGGTGCCTGAAGGGGTGGGTTTAGGGTTTCGGGTTTAGGGTTTGAGGGTTTGACCCTAAACCCTAAACCCTAAACCCTATGACGGTCCCCTAATCCTCAGGCCGCGGCACCTGGGGATTGAAGATGAAGGAGTGGAGCCCGGAGTGCACTAGGGTTTAGGGTTTAGGGTGCAGGGTTTAGAGTTTAGGGTTTAGGGTTTAGGTAGGGTTTAAGAGCCTCTGGATACAGGAAGGGCGAACTCAGAGACGTTTAATCAGGGGTTTCGGGATTAGGGATTTGTGGTTTGGGGATGTTGGGGTTCAGGGTTTTGGGGTCTAGGGATAGGGTTTGGGGTTTAGGGTTTAGGGATTTGGGGATTAGGGTTTGGGGTTCAGGGTTGAGGGCATATCGTTGAATGTGAGCGTCTTAGGATGCAGAAGCTCTACAGTCCAAGCTGCCGTTGGCAAAGCGCAGGAAGACATCGACTGACTGCCCTGTGTGTGACCTGCTAGCCCAAGCTCACATCAGTCCGATGCCCGTAGCAGCACCTTCTTGTGGCCGCAGTCAAATTTTGAGCCCGGCCCAGCTGCACCTTCTTCTGTCTTGTGGGTCTTTGTCAGAACGGACTTGGCCTCCTGGTAGGTAGCAGGAACTTCTGTTGGGCAGGCTGGTTCAGGGTTTGGGGCTTGGAGTTTGGGGGGGTTTGGGTTTGGGGTTTAGGGTTTGGGGTTTGAGGTCGAGGGCTTAGGGTTTAGGGACGTCCTAGAACTTAACCTCAGAACCCTAAAGCCCTGAAGCCAAAACCATAAAACCCTGGAAGCCTTGAACCCCAGAACCCTGAACAACAACCAGGACAACCCTAAGACAGCACAAGCACACCCCCCCCCCATGTGGGAGCCCTGTGTCCCATGCCTGTCCTTGTAGCGCGTCGAGGATTGCGTAGCCCACTGGTCCCTGTACTGTGTTGTTCACATCGTCCTCCATTGCTGGTGCAATGGTCGAAGGCATCTTCTACATTTGCGAAGGCTTTCGTGATGCCGTCTGTCAATTGTGAGTGAGTGTTAGGGTTTGCAAGGTGTGCTCTGGCATGTGTCCTTCCTTGGTACGAGTTGGCGCCGATCCACCTGGCCTACTAGAAGCCTTGTCCGGGGGGAACACGCTCCCGTATGGCCGTGTGGCCCTTGTGCTGCTCTCCCAGTTCGCCTCAACAGTGGGAGGTGGCATGTTGCGTCTGCAGAGGTTTGTCACCATCCTGTCAGGATCTAAGCTTCATTAACGGACTATTGAGCACGCCTTAGCTTCACGTCATGGGCCCGGCAGGCCCGGCGGCCACGTTGTACTTTTCAAAATGGTGGGCCTTTTCGGAAGTTGAAAGCCTTCCTATCCTGAGTTGCCGTGCGCCTGGCGAAGCTTCTTGAGGTGGAAAGTTGCGTTTGGGCCGAACAGACAAGATCTCAAAAGACTTCCGAAGGAGCGCGTCCCTGACAGCCGGCAGGCAAACTTATAGTGGCGCAAGAGGCCAAGCGGCGTTCTTCTTAGGCGCTTTTGCTTGTGAGGACACGCTGGCTTCGTCTCCGGGTGGGTGCCAGGCTTGGCCTGCGCACGTCGTCAAGCAAGAGCCAGACTCTCCATGCGCTGCTGATTGCTGATTGGATTCGTGGCGTGGGTCGCAGCGTGGTGGTATTTGTCGGCTGTGCAGGTCTTGCAAGAAGGCGATGTGATTGCGCAGAGAAGCCAGGAGGCTTTCACATTCTCATCGTCCTTTAGAGGCTGGCGTTGTGCGCTGCGCAATCATGACATCTTGAGTGTGTCACGGATGCGCCGCGTGTACGTCTTTTGGGGTCAATGCTCGTCAAATCTGTCACTTGCGCGAAGACTCTTGAGCGCGGCGCCAACGTTCCGACCGTCGGCTTACACAGCTTGGAGCGTGTGGAGCAGTCTATATAGAGGATGTCTAGTGGTACACGGACGTCGAGCCCAAGGTGCGCAGCCTTCAACGGTCTGGATTGGCGGCGTCCGGATCATTGGCAAAAAGGAGATCGGCAAGGAGCTCTGCGTTTGGCGCAGGCAGAGTTCGACCAAGCGCGCAGGGGTGGTTCATGCGCTTTCAGTCTGTTGGGACCCTTGCCTGAGACCCGGATAAAACCCTTGGCTCCCTTGGCTCCCTTGGGACCCTTGGGCCCTTGTTATTCCCGGCAGGGTTCCGGGTCCCAGGCACCAAATCGCCCGAGACTCTTGTGGGACCCCTCAACGCCTGGACGGAGAAAGTTTTTGGACATAGGCAATTGAATTGAGTTTAGGCCCAAGACGAATAGCTTGCGGTGTTTTTGGCGCTTGAGACGGTGTGGGGGTCTGCGTCCCAACCTCGCCATATCACGGAAAAGCCTGAACCCAAAAACCCTAAACCTAAACGAGAACTCCTTTACCCAAAAACTTTTGAGTTTCTTCCCAGGTACCTCAAGCTGATTCGCAAGCAGACGCGCAGCTGAATTTTGCGGCCCTTAGGGCTTCGAGTTTAGGTTTAACGTGGAAAGTATTCATGTATATATATATATATATGTGTATAGACAGATATATCTATCTGTACATATGTACCTATATATATATATGCATACATACTCATTCTCTATTTGTAATTCATATATGTTATAGAAAGAGCAACCCTCAACACTAAACCCTAGAGAGAGGGGAGAGAGAGAGAGAGAGAGAGAGAGAGAGAGAGAGAGAGAGAGAGAGAGAGAGAGAGAGAGAGAGAGAGAGAGAGAGAGAGAGAGAGAGAGAGAGAGAGAGAGAGACAGAGAGACAGAGAGACAGAGAGACAGAGAGACAGAGAGACAGAGAGACAGAGAGACATTTTGGCTCAAGCCGCGAGTGCTCAAGGAGGCGCCCCCGGTGACCAGCCTCCGAAACAAAGAGAGAGAGGGGTTGAGGAGGTGGAGAGAAGTGAGAGGGCCGTGAGGGGTGCGCCCGTGCTGCCATAGCCGTGCGGTACCAGTTTGCCTCACTACGCGTCTTCCTGCCGGGCGCTCTGAACGAGGACATAGTCGGGGGTGGAGCTCAAGGGGGACCGCTGCTGCCTGGCGCGTGTGAGGGACGTTGTGCACCGCTACCTCACGGAGAAGGCGAGCCTATGCGGGGGCTACCTGAACAGCTCGATTCGCCGGATCGACAACCTCGCCAGGGACTTTGACGATGTCGAGTTTGAGCAATGGCAGGGACACCAAGAACGCATTGGTCGCATGTGGTTCTGTGGGGGGCTCGCCGCCCAAGAGAAAAGCGGGTGCGGCAGGGGAGAGAGAAGCTGATGTGGGGGACGAGCTCCAAGTCATCGAGCCAGATGCGGGGGCGGTGACGCTGGAGAGCATCAAGCAGGCCTTCAAGACGGAGCTCAACCACAACAACGAGAGAATCAAGAAGGAGATTCAGCATGCGGTGGGGGGGGTCCAGGCGGATGTCGCCACGCGCATTGGGACCGTGGAGGCCGAGGTCACCAAACAACTGCAGACCACCCTCGCGATGCTGTCAGCCCTGACGGACAAGCAGACGAAGCACATGGAGGACCTGAAGCAAGTGAAGGAGGGGCAGGCCGAGATGGAAGCAAGACTTTCGGCGGAGACCAAAGCGCTGGGAGATCGAGTGGAAGCCATGGAATGGAAAATGAGGTTTGGGGGGAGTGGCTCGGCTCAGAGCACGACTACGGCGGAGGTGGACTCTGTTGGGGCCCCCAAGCAGCCAGCGCTCATCATCGGAGGATGGGAGGGGGACACACCTGCTGCGGACGTCCTCCAGCGGGCCCGCGATGTTGCCCGCCAACTGCAACTCGACTTGGACCTTGACCACATGTTTGTGCCAGGGGTGCGGAGGGGATTCGCTCTCATCCCACTGCAAGGAGCGCGAGAGGATGAGACTGCCGAGGCCTACCGCCAGCGCATTCAGGGGGCAATCACGAAGGTCCGCCACGCAAAAATGCAGCTGGGAATGCGAGCCGAAGGGGAAGGAGGAGGGGTGCGCTACCTGTTCCTCGCCATGAGCCAGCCGCCGGAGCGCCGGAGGCGAGCGCGCCTGGCTGCGAAAGTGAAGCGCTGCCTGCTGGAGCTAGGGGGGCACAAGCCACAGATCGAAGCCGAGTTTGCCACCGGGACAGTCTGGTATCGTGGGGTGCGCCTCTCGTCTGCATCCACGCAAGCACCTGGTGGGGCTGACTATGTGGGGCCGGGATGGGTGGACATCAAGGCCATGGCGGAGGGGCTCAGCCTGGAGCACCGTGAAGTTCAG